CTGAGGGGTTGAGGGCGGCCGCTCTGAGACCCCGGGATGCGTGCGGCGAGGAAGAGGCACTTCCTGCCTGGGCCCCCCACCCTTGGCCGATCCCCGAGTGCCTCGAAGCCGCCCGACCCGAACGGGCGCCTCAGTCCCCACCGGCCTCTAGCCCAGCCCCTCCCGCGGGACTCACCCTGAGCGGCGGTGAGATCCGCGACTGCCACTGGCTCCTCGCTCTTCAGCTGGTCTAAAGCCCCTCGGCCGCCCGAGTCTCCAGGTTTAGTCAGGCCCTGGCCTTGGCCCCGCCTCTCCCTGGTTGGGCCTCAACGTCAGTCACCCGGCGTGCTCCGCCCCTCCCGCTGTCAACTCTCCCGGTTGGCCCAGAACACCCTTCGTTTCTAGGCCCCGCCCCTCTCCTCGGCTCCCTGCGTTTTCCGCGGGGCCCCGCCCCTTCTCTGGCTCACCCTCCCCCACTCCTGCACCCCTCCGCTTCGCGGCCCACCCCTCCCAGAAGCCGCAGACCCAGGGCAGGCTCGCGACAACTCGCCCCGCCCCTGACCCAGCACCCCGGACTCGTACAGCCAATCAAAGAGGCTAACTCTGCCCCCTCTCTCGAGGCGGCCAATGCCGTGAGTCCGGGGACCACATCCCCCTTTCAGCTGAGAGCACACAACACAGCATCCACGTGAGTCAGCTTCTTAAAGGAGAAGGCTCAGCCTTTCTGATTGCGGCAGCTGGGAGACATCGCGCGTCATTAGCGTCACCAGGTGGCGGCTGAGGCCGAGCTTCCGGATACCTAGTGAGGCCCAGGGATGACAAATGAAAACAATAAGCTGTTTCCTAGACAAACAGCTGCCTAGGTAACTAAAGTGCACCGTGTAATTCGTTTCTTGGAGGCCGTTTCCCCTGACCACGCTTGGTAGAGCGCTGCCTTTTGCTTTCAAACCCCTAGCCCTCGAGTCTGAGCACATAGGCCCTACTAAAAAACATCTGTGGATAAAGGATTTTTCAACTGCGCTGGACTTTATTTACAACTCGTTTGAATTTTTTTTTTCTGGATAGTGGAAATGATTATCAAAAAGATGAAGAAATTCAGTGTTTTATATGGCGAATTTCTGCCTCAGAGAGTGAGATTTGTTTATTGTAAAGGGCAGCTGTTCCTTAACCCTCATCAGTGCTTAAGATGGAAGGTTTTGTTTCTCATTCCATTAGTGTTGCTCAGGTAATTACATCTCTGTTAGCTGACTTTCGGGATAAAACCAAAATATTTGATGACGCATACCTCTCAGATAAAAAATGTAGGTTAACATTTGGGGCTAGTTTGCAAGAAGTTTAAAGTCATTCTTGGTGAAAGAGAAGTTCCGAAGCAAATTCTAGCACTTGACTCCCGCTCATGCCCAAATCCACAAGTATCTTCATTTAGTTCGTCTGAAGTTAACCTGAGCATCAAAGGCAAAAGGACTAGTTATCTTTTGACAAGTGAGTTTTCCAGGAGATAAGGAAGTTTTTTTGTTTTGTTTTTGTTTGTTTCAGACGGAGTCTCACTCCGTCACCCAGGCTCGAGTGCAGTGGCGTGATCTTGGCTCACTGCAACCTCGGCCGCCAAGGTTTAAGCAGTCTCCTGCCTCAGCCTCCTGAGTAGCTGGAATTACAGGCGCACACCACCATGCCTGGCTAATTTTTGTATTTTTAGTAGAGACGGGGTTTCACCATATTGGCCAGGTTGGTCTGGAACCCTGACCTCGTGATCCGCCCGCTGTGGCCTTCCAGAGTGCTGGGATTAAGGCGTGAGCCACCATACCCGGCCAGAAGTTTTAAACATACAGTATTTTAGTTTCTTTTCCTTTATATTTCTTTATTTTCAATTAATATTAATTATTTAATATAAAAGTTGCACGTTTATTGTAGGAAGGTCATACTGCCTCATTTGATAAGAGACTTCTGTCCTCTAAAAGCTTCATATGTATCCTTCTATTCTTCCCAAACTGAATGTATTATACATAGAAGCATATTGTACTTCTTGTTTTTAACCTGCTTTTGTTTTTCACTTAACAACGTGCTATATAGCCATCCTTTCATGTCAGATGTGTCTTTTATCTATAAATTTACCTTTCTCTCCATAGTTTTCCATAGTATGACTTCACCATCTTTTTTTTTTTTTTTTTTTTTTTTTTTTTCAGACGGAGTCTTGCTCTGTCGCCCAGGCTGGAGTGCAGTGGAATGAACTCAGCTCACTGCAACCTCCACTTCCCAGGTTCAAGGAATTCTCCTGCCTCCCGAGTAGCTGGGACTACAGGCGCCCACCACCATGCCCGGCTAATTTTTGTATTTTTAGTAGAGATGGGGTTTCACCATGTTGACCAGGCTGTTCTCAAACTCCTGACCTCAGGTGATCCGCCTGCACTGGCCTCCCAAAGTGCTGGGATTACAGGTGTGAGCCAATGCACCCGGCTTTCACCATCTTTTATAAACATTTTTCTGCTGATAGACATGTGGGTTGCCTTCAGTTAAAAATCATGATGTAATTGACAACTGTGTACATGGATAAAATATTCAAGTATTTCTGAATATAATCACTTGGAAAGAGAGCACAATGCTTAAACCCGCAGAAATGAACACTTTAGATATCAGGTAAAACAGTGGGGACAATGTTTATTGATTTAAAAATACATATAAAATTTTTCCTGTTGTAAGTGCCTTAAAATTATAACTTTTAATTTTCATAACAACTCTATGAGATAAGTACTGTTATCCCCATTTATAGATGACTAAACTGAGGTACAGTGATTAACTAACTTGTCCAAGGTCACCCAGTAGACTTACCGACTACAGTATTTGTAAACTTGAAAAATAACAATGAAAATCGTATTTTAGAAAGATAAATCTAGATGATGATGATGTGCAGAGGTAAGGAAGGCAGACAGAATGGAGCTAAGGTGTGCAGGTTTAACTTTAGCAGGAAGGGCTACGCAGGACTGACTTTATACTTGGGCTAAGGACAGAATTTTCAAAATCAGAGGTTTTATCCTAGGTGACTGACAGGGTGATGGTTTCCCATTGCCAGATATAGGGTGGTTGAGAAGGTTGATTTGGGGTGAAAGGCTGGGTCTGAGCTGATAGTGGGACACTCATTAGAAATAAAGAGTATACAATTAAAGGTGATTTGAGAAATACGTAAGAGAAACGAAAAAGAAAGGGTGAGAGGTTTGAAGAAAATCTTGTTGGGCTTTTGGTTAGAATTGTGTTTTACCAGTAAAGTAACTGGAATAAATTGATACTTTATTGAAACTTTATAATACTAAGACTTTCCCACCAAGAGCATGGTGCATTTTTTTTCCATTTATTCAAATGTTCATTTATGTCTTTCAGTAAAATTTTATGGTGTAGCTGCCTTCCTCTAGGTTTTTTATATAACATTTTAGGATTGTATTTAGGTATTGTATATTTTCTGGGAATGTTATGGGCTAAACTGTGTTTCTCCCACTGAAATTCATGCATTGAAATCCTAATCCCCAGTACCTCAAAATGTGACTGTATTTGGAGGTAGGAACTTTAAAAGGTGATTAAATTAAAATGAGGTCATTAGGGTGGGCCCTAATCCAGTCTGACTGGTGTCTTTATGAGAAGAGGAGATTAGGCCACATGGAGAAACCAGGGATGCCTGCACACAGAGAAAAGGCCTTCTGAAATGCATTGAGAAGATACCATCTGCAATGCAAGGAAAAGGGCCTCAGAAGAAGCCAAACTTGCCAACACTTTGATCTTAGACTTCTAGCCTCCAGAATTGTGAAAAAACACATTTCTGTTTAAGCCACCCACTCCGTGGTGTTCTGTGGTGAAAGCCCTAGCAAACTAATGCAGGTGGCTACTGTGAATGGGAACTTCCCATATTATATATTACATCTCTAACCAGTTATTTGTTTTGTAGGAAACATGATGATTTTGTAGTTTATTTTCCTGGATTTTCTGGATGGAAAAATGTTTTTGTCTGTAAATGATCACAGTTTTGCTGCCTACTTTCTAGTCATTTTGTCTTTTGTTTCTTTTTTTTTTTTTTGAGACAAGAGTCTTGCCCTGTTGCCCAGGCTGGAGTGCAGTGGCACGATCTCAGCACACTGCAACCTCCACCTCCTGGGTTCAAGCGATTCTCCTGCCTCAGCCTCCTGAGTAGCTGGGACTACAGGCACATGCCACCATGCCCGGCTAATTTTTGTAGTTTTAGTAGAGACGGGGTTTCACCATGTTGGCCAGGAGGATCTCGATCTCCTGACCTCATGATCCACTCGCCTCAGCCTCACAAAATGCTAGGATTACAGGCATGAGCCACCGCACCCGGCCTTTTATTTCTTTTTAAATTCTTGCTCGTGTATCTTTGAGTATATCTGTGAATATTTCTGTCAGACAAATTCATAAAAGTTATTACTAGTTTGTAATGTTCCTTTTTTTAAAGAATGGGCATGCAATTTTATTAAATATTTTTTAGTGTCCATTGAGATGACCATGTTTTTTTTCCCTTTATTCTATTTCTTTATGTATATTACATTAGCCCATCTCCAACATTAAACTAGCTTTGTGTTTCTGGGATTAAAAACTCCTTTGTCATTTAACGTGTGCTATTACTGACATTCTTTGAATAAAATCAAAAACAGGAGTATACCAATGTACACCAACATATCCTGCTGCTTTATTTGAGTTATTGACTATACTTTCTGTCTGAAATTGTATGCTGTGTCCCCAATTGATGACTCTATTTAGTAACTACAAACCTTGAGTCAGGCTTTCAGAATGCCCTTATTTTTATTTATTAGTAGAGATGAGATCTTGCTATGTTGCCGGTGCTGGTCTCGAACTCCTGGGCTCAAGTAATCCCCTCTCTTCTGCCTCCCAAAGTGCTGGGATTACAGGCACGAGCCACTGTTCCTGGCCCGAGTGCCCTTCTAATGGTGCTTCCGTGGACCTCTCCTTTGCTCTGATTTTCTTTCTCCTGCTTTTGGAGCTGCTCCTTTAGAGGTGAGACCACTCTTCAGGTGGGTGAAATCAGCAGTGAGTCTCCCATTGCCTCTCTGAACTTCCCACAGCCTGATAAATTTTCTCCTTGTTCCTCAAGCCCTGGAACATTTGGGCCTCCACCCACCTGTCTTACTCTCTGCGGAGAGTCTTGCCTCATAATTTAGAGTCAGATTAAGACCGGTGGAAATGAACTGCCTTACATTTTCTGTCTCAGCATATCTTCCTCTATCACGTATTTTCTGCAGGTTTGGATAAAAGGTAGTCTCTCCTGATAATTCTCAATGCCTGATGGACACCTATTCCAGAACACTCTGCATCCTGGAGCCCATTCTGTCCTAAATGGATCCTATATCTCCTCTCAACACAGAGACAAACAGCAAACATTCCTTTAGGCCTAGGACCGTCACTTCCCTGTGTGTGTTCATGGACCACAATACCTTGCCTGCTTCAATGGCCGCAAGTGTTTATCATCTCTGTCTTGTCTGGGCTCTACATACAAGTGACCTGCCCTCATATCCAACACTCCAGTTTAGACCCCAGTAACTTCTTACTGGTCGGTTCTAATAACCTTTTAATAACTTTCCTCTATCTTTCCCCTTGCTTTATATTGAGATCTTATTAATTGTTTCCCCTCCATCTTGCTGCCTGGATCATGGATGATGCCAGTACCGCAGGGACCAGG